CCTTTTTTTTAAACCTGTTGTGCGATTGAGTTGCAGAATATGTTACTTCTTTGCTTATTGCTACCTACTTAATATCTTTCTTTTTTCTTTTAGGTTGTTTGATGTATGCACAGTGTCACGAACAGACAGAGAAACCAAACTAACATTAGTGTTTGAACATGTTGATCAAGACCTGACCACTTATTTGGATAAAGTCCCGGAGCCTGGAGTGCCCACTGAAACCATAAAGGTACCAAGAATCATCTGTCTGTTTGATTAAATAGTCACACTATTATAGCCTATTAAGCAGTCATATTCCTTCCATATGAAAATTGCCAGAGGGCACCCAACTGGCTCAGTCAGTAGAGAATATGACTCTTGATCTTGGAGTAGTGAGTTCAAAGCCCACATTGAGCGTTAAGCTTACTTTAAAAAAATGCCAGGGGCGCCTGGGTGGCTTGGTCGGTTAAGCGTCCGACTTCGGCTCAGGTCATGATCTCACGGTCTGTGAGTTCGAGCCCCACGTCGGGGCTCTGTGCTGACAGCTCAGAGCCTGGAGCCTGTTTCAGATTCTATGTCTCCCTCTCTCTCTGCCCCTCCCCTGTTCATGCTCTGTCTCTCTCTGTCTCAAAAATAAATAAATGTTAAAAAAAAAATTGCCAGAATTAGAGCTTTTGGAACTCAATATATAGTTAAATATATCAACCAAGATGTTCATATAATGAGATATATTCTAATTCATTATTTTTAGGGTTCCGTGAAAAAACTGTTTTAGTTTTCATACATATTAAAATTATTGAAAAATATTTAAATATACATTATCTGGCCATAACCTTAGAAGGTATAGTGTTGTAAATGTAGCTCAGTCTTTTTCTGATGATTCACAGACTCTGAGGAATGTAATTTGAAACTTCACACATGAGCACATTGCATATTATAATTGTATACTGACTCCAGGATGTAACTTATACTATGTAAATCTGAAATACTGGCTTTTAGGCCCTCCTTTCTCCATTTTTCTTTCTCATTTACAAAACGTTTATAGGAAGCCTAAGTGCCAAGTACTGTCCTAAACCCTTGGGATTTAGGAATGATTTAAGACTCCTTACAGGTCAGCAGGCTACATGTGCTGTATTGACCAGACGTTCTTTCTTCCTTTAAGTCTAATGGAAAAACCTACTTAGAAAGTTTTGTTGGTCATACTTCTGTTCTGCCTAATGGAACTTTCCAGTAGATCTTTTAGATCTATGCACATCGTGTGCAGGTCTTCATGAAAGACCCTTCTGTTTATGTGAGTTAGGTGACTTCACTAAACAGACTCTTTACCTAATCATTCATTGTTGAGAAATGAATTCTGGAATTCAGCATTGTTTTAGATAGCAGGGAATAGCTGGAAATAGTTTCTCTTGTGTTTCAGTAATAGCCAGTTGGTATTGTCAGATACTGACACATTTAGAACTTTGACATATTGAATGATTTATTTCTTTGGTTTTAGATTGATAAAGAGTTTATGTTCCCATCTGCCTTTCATAAAAGAATATAATGCTCAGTAGTGCCCTCATTTCTTCCTGAGCAGTTTCAAGAACTTAAAGGCCCTTTAAATGCAGGTGTCCCTACTTATCTGTTCTTGGTCCTCTTCTCCTCCATACATGCACCCCTCTTTCCTCTGGACTTCTATTCCAGTTTTGTGGCTTCAGTTCTCTCCTTTGAAAGTTTGTCTAAAACCCCATGTTTAGCATGCAGGGCGTAGCCCCTTTTCATGGACGATATGTTCTGCCAAAATAGACTCTTAGTGTGGTTCATCATTTCCTACCTGTGTGGTCCTCCTGCTCAGTGCCATTTCTTTACTCCCCATCAATAACCATCTGCTTAAGTATCTGGCTCACCCCAGATAGTGTTTGACCAACTTTCACAGGTGGATATAACCTTATTTGTCAAACAGCACTAGTTCTACACATCTCCTCTTCTTTGTTATATTTTCTACCTTTAATTGTATTTGTATCCATATTTTAACTATTCATTCATCTTTGTATCCTGACAGTCCCTACACAATGATTTATACACATAAGTACTCAATAAATAAGACACATTGACAACCTTTCTTTAGATGTGATTATTTCAAAATTATTTTTAAGTGACTTCCAACAGCTTAAACTTATACTGTCAAAATAACCATCAGCTTCTTCTGATGCAGTTAGTTCTAAGTTCAAAATTAGTTTGAAGGGGGAGTCAATTTTTTTAAGCAGCAAAACAAGATAACCATATATGTATATATTATATCATACATTACCACCTGCATAGGTAATTTGAGTTTCACATTAAATCCTCCTGGCATTAGAGGGTACCAAGTGGAATTGTTTGCTAAAGTATCATGTAGTTAAAGTGGTTGATAAACCAGACTGATGCGCTAAACTATGGTTTGATCAGGTAGGAGTAGCAACAAAGTGGGTTAGGGGGAATTATTATTATTTTTTTAATGTTTATTTATTTTTGAGAGAGAGCAGGTGGGGGAGGGGCAGAGAGAGAGGAGGACAGAGAATCTGAAGTGGGCTCTGTGCTGACAGCAGTGCTGGGGCTCGAACTCATCAACTGTGAGATCATGACCTGAGCTGCAGTCATATGCTTAACCCACTGACCTGGAGGGCACCCCTGAGGGAATTCTTAAGGGTGGGGTGCAGGGGCAGGTAGGGTAAGATGAGGAACAGGCAGAAAGGTGGCCACCAAAGTGAGGAGAGGAGAGGAAAGGAGTTTGGGGAGTATTTGAGCCAAGGTTGATGGGGGAAGATGGGAGGCAGGAAGGGGAGAGGGAAATAATGCTTGTTACCAGAAGGTTTTGACAAATTGAACTGTTTTGTGGTTAATGATCTATCCATGCTTTCATAGTAAATTATGAAATATTGCAGTCAGTTATTGTGTATGTCAGTGGTTAATTAAACATTTTTGCTAACTTAAAGGCTAGTCAAAAGACTTTTTGTCTTCATCTTTAGCTTTTGAAAATTTTCTGAACTATGCTATGCTAATCTGCTTTTCTTCCTTATCAATTATTAGAATGTTTTTTTTTTAATAATTTGAGTGTGAGTGATCTTTTAAGGCCATTATTTAAAACACAAGTAATCACTTAGAAGCGTTACAAAACTATCAATTGTATAATTTTAGGCCAAATATACAAATGATATAAAATTATTTTTAGTAAAGATGTGTACTTTTCTTTTTGTGATTGACTTCTTTTTAAGAGTTGGTGTGCAGGGTAAACATCTGCTGAGTAAGAGGTTCTGAGTTGGGGTTCTGGTTAAATGAATTTTGGAAGGGCACAGCCAGAGAATAGAAATATTTCATTACTGTCTAGGCTTATTTATAGGAAGTCTCAATAACTAGATAACTAGATCAAGAGAATATTATTGTTCTGAAAAATCTATTGGGAACACAGTTGGATTCTTATGTGGAATGTTTGTTGTAATAAGAGTTTTTCTGAATATGCTGCTACAAATATTTATTGAATATTTATGGACAGTTTTGTGCTAGCATTTGGGGAACACAAAAGTGAATTAGGCATGAAGCTACTCTCAAGGACCTTATACTATAAAAGAAGAGATAAAGTGCACCCAGAAGCATGTGATACCCATTTTCTGTGGTTATTTCAATAGTTTAGGGAATGTTTTCAAGTAAACACACACACACACACACACACACACACACACACACACACACACGTGAATGAACACAGTATATAGCTGATTCTGTGTATTACGAAACCAAAATATTTTCTAGAATCTTCTTCAAAATCATAGATACCAGTATTGACATTGGCTTGCAAGTGTCAGAACATGCCAGATTGTAAACTATAAATATGCATAAAATCTTAACATGAAATAGATATAAAACAGAAAATCAAGAAAAGACCTCACATAAGATCATTTAGGCTAAGGGAACTTTCCTCAACTACCCCACTGTGTTTTCTGTGGCACTGTTTACCTGTTATTCACAAGTTCAGGATATTCTAGTGCCTGCTAAGGACATAAATTGCAGGAGGTAAACAGTACTTGGTTAAAACTGGAATGCTCCATGGTCTTTGACTAGATATTGTAGAGGTAAAATCTTTTTGTTCAGTACTATTTTTATCAACATGTTTGTTAGAAAAGAACCCATGATGGGCTTGTTTGACCTGCTTTAATTAGATCACCTAATTTTTCTTTTTTATGTTTTATTATTTATTTCAAGAGAGAGAGAGCCCACAAGGTGGGGGAGGAGCAGAGAAGAGAGAAGGAGACAGAATCCCAAGCAGGCTCTGTGTGCTGTCAGCACAGAGCCCAACATGGGGTTCAAACTCACAAACTGTGAGGTCATGACCTGAGCCGAAATCAGGAGTCAGATGCTTAACCAATGGAGCCACCCAGGCATCCCGATAATTTTTCAAATGCATTTAAATACCATTTGTTATTAAAAAATATAAAAGCCAGAAAAGCATCCCTGAAGTCCTAAGTATTTGTGAAGGTTGGTGGTTGGGTGAACTCACTGGGATAAGCCTGCAATTATTGTGTGGTGGTCATGTGAGACTTTGGCAAAGTAGGTGAAGGGTACAGGCCTGAACTGAAAATTGCCATTGAGAGGCTCATGAGAATAAAATAAAATCATTAGTGGTTCTTTCCAACATTTTAAAGTGTATCTTATTCTAAAAAAAATAAATAAATGCATACATACATCCTATGCATATTTCATCTTGACGTCTTTATCATCTCTTCTTGATTTTCTAAGGTACATCCATTCATGTTGATAATGACATTTGTATAGAGGAGCCTGCTGACTGCTGCGCCCAGAAATCAACAAATAATGACATTTTGCTTCATAGACTTAACCATTGCCTTATTTTGTTTTCCTATTTCTACTTGAGAGTGTTACCTTTTGATTTACTTTATTATGGAGGAATTTAGTGCCATCGTTATTTTTATATGAGATTTGGTATTGTCTTCTTGGGTTTGCTACTTAAATTTACCAGTCAATAATTGATACCTTACTGATTGTCCTTTTTTTTTTTTTTTTTTTTTTTTTTTTAGGGTTCATGATACATTTAGAGTTTCTGTGCTTATATAGCACTTTTCATTTGTGAGGGCTTTATGAGAAAAAAGGGCTTCCAGATTTTTTTCCCCCTCTTTTCATGCCTTTATCTGCCACTCTGAGAGGGGATCAGAAAGAAGCTGTAAATAAAATCCCTCTCTTGTTCCAGGTAAAATCTGCTTTATGAAGCCTTTAAAA